CACAAATTGTTAAATAAACATGTAGGTGCATGCAAATATCCAACGGTTAAACGAAAGTTGACTTGTATTCCCCCCTCCCCCCCACCCGGAAAAGTATGAAAAACACAAAATGATGGGGGTATGAAGCTCACCTTGATGATGTCGTGTGATAGGGAGAAGAAGAAAGAAGTTGTTGAGCCTAGCCTTGTGTAACTTGAAGAGATTCTCGAAATTTCAAGTGTTCTAAGTTTCATACACACGAAAATGGGTGTGTAAATGGAATGATCTTAACACAAACATGTATAAAAGCACTTTGATTTTCACAAGGAACTTACCAAAATGCCTAAGACTGATTTTGTGGTGATGATGCTCGAAATTTTGAGAGAAAAGACGAGAGGAAATTTCTGGAGAGCAAAGTGAGTGAAAATGTGTTTGATGTGTGTGTGGGTCTCTTCGGCCGAACATAAGGAAGAGAGGGGGAAAAAGGAGCTTGGTTGCATGGAGGGTACTTGTGAGTGTTGCATGGAGGCATGAAGGTTAATCCAATCCTTGGCTTGGTTGTTCTATGGTTCAAGAGATGTAAAGTGGTGAGGTGTCACCATAATTTTAATTCTTTCCTTTTTTTTAGTCTTGACTCCCAACCGAAACCTTAGGAGGTTTTCGGCCATAGAGGCTTCCCAAGGGGGGTTTTCGGTTATAGGGTGGTCGAAAACACCCTATAGGCTTAAAGGGTTTTCGGGTTTGGTGTGAGCATGGCCTTTTGGGCTTAATTTGGCCCAATAAATGGTTTTTCGGTCCAATAAGGCCCAAAGAAGGGAGTTTTCGGCCTAGGGTGTTTTGGGGCGAGAACTCTTTGGAAAAGGCCCAAAATTGATTTTATTTAGCTATTGGACCTATCTTGGGATTACGAGAGGCTATTTCATCTTGATCCTTAAATGTATGCACATATGATTTCATATAACATTGTAGTTTGAATTTCACTAATTTGATGCAACAAGGTTACATAGAGGAAATTGTTTTGTACAAATACCACAATCTCAACCCTAAATTGCTAGTTGTGACATACTATTAGCTATGGAAGAACTTCTACCAATATTAACTAATTATTAGATTCTTCTTCCTTTCCACTTCCTAGATTCTCCTTCCTTTCCACTTCACCCTACTGAAAGACCTGACACTACAATGGTTGGACATAGACATGAGTTGTGTAATAGAGCCAAATCAAGCAATCTGAAACTATTTAATTCTAGGAGCATGCAACCTAACGCATTTTTTAAATAACTAATTAATATCAATATAGGTTCTAAGAAGCAACTAACAAAAAATTCCCTAGGCTATAATGCATCTTAAGTATCAAGCAATTCTATTCTACAATTCCTGATAAGATCCCTAGCCTACATTCTAGCATGCATTCCTAACATTTCACATATTAGTAATCATAATAATATGGATATTTTAGGAATCACTTTCCTTTCTGAGCTCCGGCTGACTGTACGTATTGAATTCTTTTTATTACTATTATTTTCTAAAGATTTGTTAAGATATTCAAATCCTCGGTTTGAATCTAGAGTCACACGAATGTTCATCTAATTTCTTAAACCAGGGCTCTGATACCAACTCGTAACGTCCCCATTTTAACCCAAAAATTTTCATTTTTATTTATTCAAATATATCATAGTATAGTTACATTATGCAGAAACATGTTGTGAATGCGCGTATGTACAGTCAAACCTTTCCCTTCTGACCAACCCATGAAGCTCCTAAAAAACATTTATAAACAACTGGGTAAGCACGAAGCTTACTGAGTTCCCTAAAATACCATATACCACAATACATATATCAGTCACCGCCCACTAAGCATATAAACGGGCCCCGCCCAACCTATACTATAGGCCCCGTTCAACCTACTTATAATCAAGCCCCACCCAAACTACCGAATGGGCCCTACCCTCCTTACACACATAATAGGCCTCACCCGACATACATAACCATATTATATACATAGAGACTACACTTTTAGGTTCTATTACTACAGGAACATAGAGGCTATTATTTCTACTCTGCTAACTTCGTATACACTAACATTAAGCACCTAGAGACTATGATATCGACTCTAGTCTACTAGATCCTAACGCCCATGGATATGTATTGTAATACACATTATAGTAAGGTAACTCACCTGGACAGTTACTTAGACAATTAAAAGATATCTGGTAATCCTACTAGCATGCAATCCAACTGGAAGGTAACGCATCTAACAAGTATTAACAGGGATCTTAGCGAAAACCGGGCAGATCGCAGGCAGGGCTTCGATACTGAGCACTTCTATTTACCCGACCCTCTTCCTAAGAGCTTTAGTAAAGTGGAGTTCCTCAAACTCCCGAAAATACCCCAAAAGTTGGATCTTGGAGAGAGGTGAGAGAGTTTGGAGTGAAGATGATGTGAGATATGGAAGAAAACAGAGATGTCTATTTTATAGTCGGGAGGCGCGCCGCGCACCATAGATGCGTGTCGTGCATCTTGTCGGGGATGCTGCCATGGCTTCATTCAGAGGGTGACACGTGGTGGTTTTTAGGTGGAGTGTCAGTGCAGGCAACGCCCCTTGTCGACGCACGCCCAAACACACACAAATATTCAGTTTCTTCAAAAATTCATATCTTCTTCATACGAGCTCTATTTTCGATGTTCTTTATATCCATGCGCAGCTATGGATGAGATCTATAAATTTCACTTAGACTCGGTCGGCTAATTATCACCTTATTTTAAAGTTATACTTTTAACTAGAATAGAATGTTAAAGTTTGTATAAAAATCATAACGTGTCCATATGAATTCCGTTCTCAACTGTATTTATATTGACGAAATTGTATCTATGAGATCTTCAACTCTCATTTAGATTGTTTCAGCTAAAAATCGACCGATTTCTATTTCGGTTTCTGTCTCGTACATTGCTATGCTGAAACTTCTAAAAATCATAACTTCCTCCTAAGAAGTCAGATTTAGGCGTTCTTCATATGTACGAGTTCATTTTTCCGATTACGACGACTTTCATCAAGACTATTTATCCTAAATATCCTTCTATCTAAAATCCTTAATTAAGTAACTAGTCATTTATATTGTAAGGCGAAAATGTGGTTTTACAGTGTTAGCCAAAAAAATGTAAACGAGAGTTGATGATCTCGTAAACATGATTCTGTCGATGTAAAGAAAGTCGAGAACGAAACTCGTGTGAAGGAGTTATGATTTTTATACGGAATTTAACAGTCTAACCCTATAAAAATAACACTTTAATAATAAATTGAGAATTAGCCGTCAGATTCTAAATGAAAGTTGTAGTATTCATCGATAGCTACGCATGGATATAAAGAACGTCAAAACACTACAAGAAAAAGACCATTTTACGACGCGCAAACAACGACAGTCACTGATTTATGTTATACAAAAGAGAGTGACATTAAAAAAGTGTCGTCTCTTCAAAAAATTTAAGGATTTATGTCACGCATTATTGTGTGCCCTTAAATTAGTGTCTAAACAAAAAAAACATGGAGGGCACCTATAATAAAATGTGTGTCGTCTAAAGATGTCGCTTTATAAATTTTAATGGAACGCGCGTTCCATCTGGGGGGAAAATGAAATCCTAAAAAATTAAAAACCCCGCATCTTTTTCTTCTTTCCCTCTTGCCCAGATTATCGACGCTCCTTCCTTTCCCTCTTGTCTCTCTCGGTCGCTACCTAGGGTTTTTATTGAAAGCTTGAATCGATCGACTGAGGTAACCAAAGGTCAAGCGAACCGGGAAAGGGTTTTCAGTGAAATCTATTGTTACTCTTTGAAATCGGATCCAATCCTACCTTCGCCCCATCCTTCTTGTCTCTATCAGTTGCTACCTAGGGTTTTTCGTGAAAGCTTGAATTGATCGACTATGGTAACTAAAGGGTAAACGAACCGGGAAAGGGAAGCAATAAATCCAACACTCACTCTCAAATCGATTCTACTGGACAAGGTTTAAATTTGGGGCTCTCTACATTCTTATCGATTCTACTTTCATTCAAGCTTACATCGGTTTTTTTGGTATACAGTAACCGAAGCTTACATTCTCATCGATTCCACTTTCTCTCTCTGAACAAAATATCTCATATTCTCTAAAAGCCCTAAACCAGCCACCACCGGCTATCACCTCCACCATCGTTCACGTCGTCCTACTTCCCAGATGGTCTGTGTGTGTGCGCGACAAGACTGAACAGAAAATGGGAAAGAAAAGAAAAAACGAGCAGAAAGAGAGAGAAGAGAGTTTAAGGCCGAGGGGAGGATGCATCAGATTTGTGGTACTGTTCTTAACGTCTTTTCAAAATACAGTACCTTATTATGGGTTTGAAGAAAAAGATGATCGTTTTCTCTGTTTTGCAGTTCTAGATGGTATGGGTTCGCCCTGATATGGTTTAGAGAAGTGTACGTCATCTCTGAAGATCACAATCATCCATACCTTATTTTGAATTTCGCTCTCTCTCTCTCTCTCTCTCTCTAAACATTTCCTCTCTTCTTTCTTTCTAAAACCCTAGCATATCATCATTGCAGAGGAATTTTCGTGTTGTTTTCCACCATCTGTGTTGGACCAGACCAGTTTTCACTTGACCAAGCTTTGAATTGGAAAAAAAGAGTTGTGGTCAAACTTGGTTGTTGGTTCCATTGAAAAGATTAAGTCGGAGGTTGTCCTAAAAGTTGAAGGTATTGTTGTTGATAAGAGCATCTAAAGATAATTGGTTAGAAAATCATATTGTCTGCTAAAACTTAAAAGTATGCTCTGGTTCCTTCTTGATGTATGAGTTTCCTATTCTTTAATATTCTGATGCAGGTCACTTATATTGAGATCAGACCTTGGGGAGGTGTACAAACTAAGTTATAGTTTGTGGGCTTCTCCATAATCCTGCATAGTGAGCAGTTGAGTGGGCACGGGAGATCATGTATTTTTTATCTCATGAAATCCTGGAACTTTTGTTGCCCTGATGAAATTTACATTGTATCCTATGGGTGTGGGGTATTTATCAATATCAGCAGTCTGTACAGTGTTGAGCTTTATAGGCCTCCAATATTGGACAGAAGTTTCTTATGTGAAACTAAAGTCAGATGGTTTAATGGGTGAAAACCTTCTCCACCCTGGTGTTGCCAACCGTGTATTGGAACTGTTGTTGAGTTCTTATACCACAATTGCATTGGTGGTCAACTTTTTCCTCAACATTTTTATACTCATCATCCTCTCTCTTAAGGTATTCAACTTTTCTAAATCTTTACAATGAGTCTTGATTCTTTTTGATGATACACAGATTCGACCAGATCGTCAAACCTTGTATTGAAGTGCTACATGGCCAAAGGAAGTCGAACAACTTGCAAGACAGTTTCTTTACAACCCATACAAAGTAATTACTTTTTTTTTCTATTTTCACCATATGTTCATATTTAATCCTTTTTTTTTTACATTTAAAATTTGGACAGGTGGTGATTGGTTCACAAGACTTAAAAGCTAACCATTCGATTCAGCAACATGTGGATATTGTTAGTGAGAATCAAAAGTACAACAAGTAAGCAGACCGTTTTTATAGATGATTTTTTATTTTCAACTTTTTAGACGCTTTAAAATAATAAAATTTGATAATTTTTTTTCAGATTGGTGAAACTGTTGGATGACATCATGGATGGGAGTAGAATTCTAATTTTTATGGACACGAAAAAAGGGTGTGACCAAATCACCCGCCAGCTCAGAATGGACGGGTGGCCCGCATTATCAATCCATGGAGATAAAAGTCAAGCAGAAAGAGATTGGGTTTTATCCGAATTCAAAGATGGTAAAAGTCCAATAATGACAACTACAGGTGTTGCAGCTCGTGGCTTAGATACATTTAATTTCTCAACTAATTATTATATATTTAATGATTCATATTCTTGATTATTTATAAAAATGAAAATGAAAATGCAGATGTGAAGGATGTGAAATATGTGATAAATTATGATTTCCTGTGTTCCTTGGAAGATTATGTTCATAGGATTGGGAGAACAGGAAGAGTCGGGGCTAAAGGGACAGCATACACTTTCTTTACAGCAGCAAGTGCTCGGTTTGCTAAGGAACTTATTACCATACTTCAGGAGGCCGGTCGGAATGTCAACCCTGATTTAGCGGCAATGGGGCGTGGTGCACCTCCTCCACCCTCAGGTTCGTTTCTCCGGGTTTGATTTTTCCAAAAAAATTGACAGATTTGCCCTTTGGTTTTGTTATTGAAGCTTTGATGTTTGATTTATATAGGCCATGGGGGTTTTCGTGACGGATGAGAAGGGTGTGAAGGATGTATTGCAGGATAAGTTGGATAAGGAACTAAAGTTTACAGGTACCAAAGTCCTTGGATGCTTTTTTTTTTAATTTTTTTAAGAATTTTGAATTTGGTTTCCTTCCTTTGAACTTTCTTATGCAGCTTATTCCATGTGGCGGTGGACAATACTGAGACAACTTGTAATGTTGATGATAGCCAAAGCTGAACCCCAACACAGTGAGGAACACTTCCTTTTTCAATAATTGAATTGTTATAAAATATAAATATAAATTATATTTATGTACAGGATGTATATCGAATAGGTACTTTGATGGAACTTGTTCGAGTTCTTGCTCTATCATTTTCAGATGATGGAAAACGTGTTAAGGTATGCTTATCATGGTTCTAATGGAATTGGAATTGGAGATTCCATTCCATGGCATGTTTGATTGGCAAATGGATGGAATTAAATTATATCAGATTCCTTCAAATTCAATGTTTGATGGGATTCACTATTCAATTCTATTCTTCCTTTTTTGTTAAATTCCATTCCATTTCCTGCCAATTAAAGGCATGACAGATTATGATTCTTCCAATTCCAACTCCTAAACTGTAAATGTCAAATTCAGTTATTTTATATACAACAAAAAAATATTCGAATATAAATAAAAGTTTAAAATTCATTCAGGTTTCTGTTCAAGGATCCATGGGAGAAGGAGAACTTGCAGGAATGCCATTACAGCTTGCAGGAACAAGAAAGATTTTGGAGTACATGGACTGGGGTAATGATGGAGCCATGGGGACCTTCATAAACATTGGTGCTATAGGTACTCTTTTGCAAAATAAATAATGTTGGATTTCTTTATTGTATTGCATGTTAAGTTACCGATTTGCCATGTGCAGGTTCTGACAGCTCTAGCAACCTCCTTCCATGCCCTGAAGCCTCTCAAAGTTCCTGCATCAGGTTATTCTTTTAGAAAGGAAATTGTTAAAGGAGAATTTAGTCATGGGTTTCTTTTAATGTTGTACATGTTTTGTTTTCTATAATAAATATTATGCAATATTAGCAATGTGTTACATTTACTTACTATTGGAATGATTATTTGTATTTGACATAATAGTGCAATGAATTATCTTTTATTGTTTATGGTATTTTATTTTGTATTATGAGGCTTTTAATGTGTTATTTAATTTGAAAATTAGTAAATCTATCAAAAACATATAATTTTAAAAACAAAATTATGACACTCAAAAGATGCGTGTCTTCTTCCTTTATGACATGGGATTCCTTGATACGCATTGCGTGTCATAAACAGGCGTGTTGTAAGGTTACGACATGCAAATGCGTGTCGTCTTCCTTTATGACAGGGCCTTATACGCAATGCGCGTCGTAAATGCGTGTCATAAATGCGCGTCATAAATACGCGTCGTCTATAGACGACGCGCAAAAGCGTGTCGTCTCTTCGTTATGACAGGGCCTTCCTTGACATGCATTTGCGCGTCGTCTGAGCGTTTTACGACGTGCATTGCGCGTCGTAGAAGGCTTTTTTTCTAGCAGTGAAAAACAGAGCTCTTATGAGAAAGATATGATTTTTAGAAAATTTGATAAACTTCCCACGCGCACTGTTTCTAGAAGGTGGGACGCAGCCCGCCCAATTTTCGACACGTGGAAGCAAACTGCTGGAATAATGTAGCAAGAATGTGTGGCGCGTCCCTTGGATACGCATGGCATGCCTAGAAAATATTGGCTATGAATAGAAGGCCAAACCTTCATTCATTCCTCACCTTCAACAAACTCTCTTTGTAATTCTCTGAGGTTTTACCTAAATTTTCCCTAGATTTTTTTGAAGCATTTAGTACAGCTCTGAATTGTTGGAGAGTCCCACTAATAGAAGTTTTCGGCTCGGAAATTCTGCCAGTGAACTTTTCGAAGTTTTGTCAGGAATCTCTGTAAGTTAAGCTAGACTTATTATGCTTTAGGTGTAACTTATATTTATATTCATAGTCATTTTTATGAATTTATAAATAAGATTTATCAGTGATTCCAAGTCATAATACTAATTGATCTACTTACGGGGGGTAATGTCTAGGCTAAATTTTGTGAGGTTTTTAAATTTGGATTTCCAAATAGTATACTCTATATACCAAACAGAACCTACCTCCGATATGATCTTACCATGTTATTCCTTACTTGATAGATCTTGATGTAGACATTGGGATTAATGATCAATCTAGACTATCGTTATCATAGTCGCAATAATGATAAAACAAGGACTAAGACTAAGACTTAGTGATATATATACCTTGGTCTTATCAAAGGAAAAGATAAGGTGTTAGGCGAAGCTCTACCCAAATTACAAGTCATCCACTTTTAACAAGTGAGTACATAGTTACTTTCATCTTACACATAGATATGAAGCATTTAGATGATTAAATGCCATGTGTGCTCATTATATGTATTTGTGTTAGGTGAGATAATATTTTACTTAATTTTATCGTATATGCATTTCATAGTTATAATATATTGGGTAGAGAAGGGTGATGAGAGATGAAAGAATGATTAGGAGAGGCCATGGATTTTATCCTATTATTGTACTAGCGATGTAGTCATTTAAAAGAGTATAAATGACAACCACAAACTATTCTAGATAATCCACTGGAACACTGGCAGACTCGCAACCTGTAGGTGTTGAACTACGTGTTCATATGATGTACTCTATTCCTCCCCGTGGTTGCCTTATTGACATATATTGTTGAGAAATCCTTGAAGCAATACTATATATCCATTGATTGCGATGATCCTTAGGACAGGTCCCTAGAGATGAATATATGAGAAAATGGGAATGTGTAATCGGGTTATTTATTTGATGCGAAATATACAATTAAAACAAATTAATTATAATATTGCGGGTTGAAAACCCTATATACTCACCAAGCTTCTCAAGCTTGACCCACTCGGTGTCCTTTGTATCACAGGTAATGGTACGAAGGTTCAAGAATATGGATGTTAAAATCTACCGAGAAATTGAAGGAGTTCTTAGGCCATTAAATATATTGGTGTAAGGCCTGTAAATACTAGTTTATGTTTATGTTTCTGTATAAGTTATGGCATCCCAAACTTTCAAATATTAATGATAACCATTCCTTCATAAATGCATTGATATTGATTTCATTTCACATTAATAATGTTTTGGGATAAATTCCGCACTAATAAAAGAATACTCAATTTTTAAATAAACATAAAGAAAGAGTTATTTTCGGGTCATGAAAATGGGGATGTCACAAATACCAAGGGATTACTTTTATCAACATATTTTTTGCACACATAAAAGTTAGAATTATCATCAGAAACCATTTAGGTAAAAAGAAATAAAGAGTTGGAACGAAATTCGAGAGAGCATAGAAGATTGTTGTGGTTTTTGAAATTGTTGAGAGTGGTTTATATAGGTAATAAAAATAGAAGAAAAATAACTAGTCGTTCAACAGCTAGTAGAGAGTTGAGATAGACGATGAACCTGACCATCTTTCATCTTCTTGAACCTGCAACATGATGTAATGGCAGTACTGTTGGTGTCGTCCCCATAAGTCAAAATCATATGCATTACTTTTTGTACCCTAAGACCATCAAGTATGGTACAACATTTACACTCCAAAAATTGTTGTCACCTTAACACTACGTCTCCACTCCCACACCAAACCTAAGAAATACTCACCACTCATTATCACCTACATCATTTAATTATTTATTATTTGAATATAAAATTTATATAAAAAGTATTACATTCCCAAAATTAGATAAAAATTTCATTAATAAAATAAAATTTACATTTGCAGAATAAATTAAAAACTATATAAAACTTAAATAAAAAACATCTTAATAAAACAAATTACATATTGTTATATTGTCGCGGATTTTAAAAATGTTTGGAAGTCTTCTGACAAAAGATTCTCTGGGGGTTCATTTTCAAAATTTGCATATCGGAAAGCATTTTTTGTTCCCATCTCGATTCACTTTTAATGTGTATTTTTTATTTATCAATTGAATATGTTTATCAAGATTTTCCGAAAGTGTTTGCACGATGTTCCCTTCAGAAACGTCTTTCCCCGACCCTAATGATGCCCCTTTTCCTTTATCTCTTCCAGCAGGTCACCGATGGGATACTTCCGGTGGATGATCGTTGAGGTCATCGTTTGGGCCCGATTCTTGAACCGGTTTCTGACGTATTTGTGTAGTTATTTAACTTTGATGTTTTCAACATTTTTTTGTTGCTAGTGAATTGCAAAAGCACTTTCATATTATTGAGGCAAGTGAATTAAAATTCGATGTGTTTTGGATGATTGGAGTGTTTGAGTTTTGCTTCATGGTTTGCTGTAAATTTAAAAATGTTCTACATCTAATGAATCATATAAAAGTTTTATACAATATGTACAAAGAAAAATAGAAGAGAGAGAAACCCGTAGCGTACCAACCATGATGACATTGAGTTTTACGAGCAGTGTCCCCCCTACACCGTTGTTCCACCTTAGATTCTAGCTTAAACTGTAGACAGTATATAACATGCTCCCTAACAAATATGAGGTTAAAGTGTAACACTCGATTAAAGGTATTTTTCATCTTGGAACCTTGGTGTGTAATTAGTTTGCAATTTTGGTCCTTAGGGCATTATTATAGTTTTTGGGAGGAGAGTGTGTACGTTGGGCGTACCTCCTATACACTGGGCATACGTAATCAGGGGAGAAACCCTAATTTTAGGGTTTGGACCCTATTTAATAAACCTTACGTCTTAAGGTTCTCTCATTTCCCAACCTCCATTTCCATTTTGAGCCTCATTTCGAAACCCTAGCTCATCTAGAGAGATTTGACCCCTTTGTGTGTGTTTTAATGGGTTTTCGGTGAGCCTTGAAGAAGAAGAAGCTTGGGGAAGGAGAATTAATCAAGGATGAGCTTGTAGATCCAGATTTCACTCATCATTTTTAGCTCCATAAAGATATAAAGCTTGGAACTTGCTCATTCTATGCGTAAATCTAAGTTGTTGTGGAGTTTTGGACACTTTTTGGTCCCATGAATGAGATCTAGTGGGATTGTTTCACTCCAGAAGTTAGGAGTTGCTCCTCTTGATGTTTCACTCTAGAAGTATATGTCCATTTGGTGAAAGTAGGAAGCTAAGTCTAAGGTTTGGGTCTATTTAAGCCATGCAAAGGCACCAAGTTAGTGACTTTGTGAATTAAGACGTTCCCCAAGGCTTGAATCTGAAATTTGGAGATTTAGTCTTAAGCAATAAGGACTTAATCGATGAATTGGTTGAAGGGGTTTACGTCAGGCATACAAATGCATACGCTACGCGTACGCATCTGGATCCCCGACTTTGTGTAGCGACCTTGTACGCTGGGTGTACTAGGGGAACGCTTAGCGTACGCGACCTGGTCATGGGCTTTGATGTTGGGCCGCCTTTGGACTTTCGAGTTTTGGGCCCTTGTTGGGCCACAAGTCTTTCTGATTATGGGTCACTGTTAGGGCTTGAGCCTTCTTGGAATTGGGCCCATATTGGGCTTTTAGTGTCCTTTAGGAATTGGGCCATTATTTGGACTTTTGTGCCATTGAGTTTGGGCCTCGGCTTTTGGTCCAGTTGTGGGAAGGGTAAAATGATCTTTTACTGTAGGGGTCAGGATTTAGTTAATTAAAGTCCCGATTATGGTTTATGACCCAAGTATTAATTAGGGTTTTATTTTATTAGTTAGTGTTGGGATTCTCTGGTTCAATAGCCTGAGCATATATTTGTTTGACAGCGGACTGAGGTGAGTTTGCACACTATACTCTACAACACTAGGGATTATATGTGTGTGTAGTCTTTGTGACTCTTGTTGTATGTCATGTATGTCTGTGTACATGATTTCTATATGTATGTAGGGTAGAATAGACCCGGGGGTGAAATAGATTCGATACAGCCTCGTGCTGACATATAAACTGAAATAGACTCGGAGGGTAGAATAGAACCGGGGTTGAAATAGACCCGGTACTGCCTTATGCCTGATATGAGTTAAAATAGACTCGGGGGTGAAATAGACCCGACACAACAT